TTTTTTTTTGGTTGCAGCCGTCATTGTTGTTTGGCGGGCCCGGGCTGGATTCAAACTCGCCACCTTGGGTGTACGTGGCTGGCGCCTTAGCCACATGAGCCACAGGCGCTGAGCCAGTGGTTAAACTTCACTACAGCTTCTCTCAGCGTTTTACAGAAAGGAAAATGACAGCGGGAGCACCCGGGCGGATCGAAGCACCTCCTCGCGAGCTCACCGCTGTGGGGACGGAGCGCACGTCTGGGATTCGGGGCGTACCGTTGGAGGGTCGGGAGCACCTCTGGGGGCCGCGAGCACGGCTGGGAGGACGAGGCACATGCACACGGACGCGCCCCCGGGCAAGAGACTGCGGTCCCCATTCCGGTGTAGCACGGCCCCGCCACAGGTGTGGCCGGGTGGGCGGGCCGCAAAGGTGAAGACCCACCCAGCCTGCAGCTCCAGTCCCGGGGCTTAGCGTGCGGTCCGCAGGGGTTCTGACCACCCGGTGGGCCGCTCCGCACCGTGCCGGTGTTTCAACGCGGCGACCGCGACTTACGGCCCCGGGCTCGCCCACGGAGACCCCAGACCAGGGAGCGTCCTGGAGCGGCTGCGGGTCGAGGGGTGGGGCTCGGGCCGGGGCGGGGCCTGGAGCGCAGGGCCCGTCGCCCCGCCCTTCCGCTACGGTCTCCGATTGGCCGTCGCCCACGGTGCATTGTGGGGCGCCCGCTCCGCCGCCGCCGCCGCCACAGCTTGGAACTCGCCATGTCGAGCTCCCCGGTTAAGCGCCAGAGGATGGAGTCCACACTGGACCAGCTCAAGCAGTTCACCACTGTGGTGGCCGACACGGGCGACTTCCATGGTGAGACAGGCGCAGAGCGCGGGGGCACCGCACGTAAGCCCTCGGCCGGCCCTGGCGCCTCGACTTCCCCGGACCCCCAATTCCGGGACGCAGACCGGGTGGCTGTGCCTGGGGCGTCTCGGCAGTGGGGATGAGCGCAGGCGCCGGGCTCTGGGCCCGGGCGCGGGGCAGGGCGCTGGGCCTAGGTCGGAGTTGGCGGTGAGTCGGGGGGCGCGGGGCCCGGGACGGCGGTCAGGGGCGGGGGTTTTAGCGGCCTTCGGGGAACAGGAGGCTGCGGGGCCAGATCGACTGGCCCTTCTGAGTCCCGAGGCACGGATCAAAGTCCGAGCCCCACCCTTTCCCTGGGGGCCCCGCACCCGGTGGGCTGTTGGACGCCTAGGGAGCACCTTCGCGCACACTCGGGGAGTTGGTGGGTCCGGGCCTTGAGTTCAGCAGAGATTCAACACGTAACTTTGAGCTGATTCCATGTGGCTTGCTTGAGGTCACCCAGATGGGATTTTGCTGGGCTTTGACTGCAAGAGCAGGGACTTGAGCTAGCTCTGACCTGAAAGGAGGAATGCCACCACCTGCTTTTGAAGCTGGATGCACTGCTTTTCCCCTCTTGCCCAGCGGGACAGCCATCGCAGGCTGGGGACCTTTTGTGGCAGGGTGCGTTGGCCTGGTTGGACATTCAGCACGGGAAGAACCAGCTGAGTAGAACCCAATGTACAGACCAAAGCAAAGGGTCTTTGTTCTGTTAAAATTTAGATTCTCGGCTCGGCGCCTGTGGCTCAATCGGCTAAGGCACCAGCCACGTACACCTAAGGTGGCAGGTTTGAATCCCCAGCCTGGGCCTGCCAAACAACAATGACGGCTGCAACCAAAAAATGGCCAGGCGTTGTGGCGGGCGCCTGTAGTCCCAGCTACTTGGGAGGCTGAGGCAGGAGACTCGCTTAAGCCCAGGAGTTGGAGGTTGCTGTGAGCGTGATGCCATGGCACTCTTCCCAGGGGGATAGCTTGAGGCTCCGTCTCAAAAAAAAAAAAAAAATTTAGATTCTCCTGGGCTTGAACTCCTTAGTGCCTCTGTCCTGCAGTTCAGGGCAGGTGAGGTTTGTTTTCTGTTTTGGCTGTGAACAAATAAGATTTTCAGGAAGATCATTAAATGCTCTGTGGACATGAGTGCTGTGAGCACCTGATACGGAAGTGGCTTCCTCTTTTTTCTGCTTTCTCATGGTGACTGGAGAAACAGGCTTTAATTCCTCTTTGGTAACTGAGTAAGAGCATTGTTATCCACTGGAGCCTGGGAGAGTGAACAGGCATGTTTAACCACTTAACTGTGAAGGACGGATTCAGTGCTCCACCTGGGGTGCCAGCAGTGTGCCCCTGCTCTGGGAGATCCTGAGCTAGAGCTGTGAGCCCCTCACGCACAGCCCCTTGTAGTGCAGATTCTCAGTTCATAAGAAAGCAAGCACCAGAAAAGTGGCTGCGTGTTTTTCTTCTGCTCAGTTCTTTACCTTCTCAGCACCAAGAGTAATTTTCTTGGTGGACAGAGCCCTGGTCTGCACTGTTGCTGGTGTCAGAATCAAGTCCTTCACACCTGGCAGTGCAGGGCAGGTAGTAATGTTGAACTTCCCTAAAGGAAGGAGCTGGAGATGCTGGGTGCTTTTTGTTTGTTTATTTGTTTTTGTTTAAGATATCTTCTAAAGCCAAGTTCTGACTTTTTTATTTTTACATGAATGTTAACTTTATTAAAGAATACATTTGTTGGTAGTATATGTTCATATGTTTTGTGTTTTGTAGTTGTAGACAGTGTATTGGGTTTGTGGTCTCTGTTTCATGAAGTGAAGGTTCTTGACTCCTTGGGTGGGTTGCAGGCCTCTCTGAAAATATCATGCATCCCCCACTTGAGGGTTCAAAAAAAGAAAAAACTTACGGAGCTGTGGATGCTCTCTTCCCAGAGCAATGCCACCAACCCTCATCCCCACCAATTTAAGTTTCTTCAGAGTCTCACTTTGTCACTCGATAGAGTGCTGTGATGTCATAGTTCACAGCAACCTCAAACTCTTGGGCTTAAGTGATCCTCTTGCCTCAGCCTCCCAAGTAGTTGAGACTACAGGTGCCTGCCACAATGCCCAGCTATTTTTAGAGATGGGGGTCTTGCTCTTGCTCAGGCTTTTTTTTTGTTTTGGGGGGATTTTTTTTGTAGAGACAGAGTCTCACTTTATCGCCCTGGGTAGAGTGCTGTGGCGTCACACAGCTCACAGCAACCTCCAACTCCTGGGCTTAGGCAATTCTCTTCCCTCAGCTTCCTGAGTAGCTGAGACCACAGGCACCTGCCAGAATGCCTAGCTATTTTTTTGTTGCAGTTTGGCCAGGGCTGGGTTTGAACCCGCCACCCTCAGTATATGGGGTCAGCACCCTACTCACTGAGCCACAGGCACCACCCCTCAGTCTGGTTTTGAACTCATGAGCTCAGACAGTCCACCTGCTTTGGCCTCCCAGAGTGCTAGGATTACAGGTATGAACCACCCTACCCAGCCATGAAACAAGTTTTATATGTGATCAGGTTGACCTGGATTGGAAAGAAATTGTGTGTTTTTCTTTTTTTCATTTTCTTTTGTTTGTTTCTCTTTTTCTTTTTATTTATTTATTTATTTATTTATTTTTGAGACAGAGTCTCACTGTGTGCCCTGGATAGAGTGCCATGTAGCCAGGCATTGTGGTGGGCGCCTGTAGCTTGTACTTCCTGCTACTGGGGAGGCTGAAGCAAGAGAGTTGCTTGAGCCCAAGAGTCTGAGGCTGCTGTGAGCTATGACACCACAGTACTCTACTGGGGAAAAGAAAGTGAGGTTATGTCTCA